ATTTTTTCGTATTTTTTTCGGACGTCGAAAGCTCAAAAAACGAGAGAGAGAAAGAGAGTAGAAGAGAGAGAGAGAGAAATGGATGAGGGTAATTTTGACTTTTGGGGCGGTGTTTAGCGGTTCACAAAGTAAGAAAACCTTTTCTTTTGGGCTATGGACTGATAATTGACACAACCTTATGCCCTTAAAAATAACTAAAGAAAAACAAAATAACAAAGTCCCATTTTTATATTTTCGGCGGCCTCTTTTTAGCTCGACATTTTCATCACTTGCTATGGCAGCCTCTGCCTTGGCCCTCAGATCACTTTTCACCTCCCTTTATGCAAACCCAAGCGATCTACATGTAAGTATTTTCGATATTCTTGCTCATTTTTCACTGTACATCTGTTGAGGGTTAGAGATGAAGGATTTTTTGATTGATTGGATAAAAAAAAATTGAATCTTTACGACAAAATTACTGTTTTTAAGGCTTCACATGAGCGATATTCGTTGACTACAGAATGGGTTTAGGAGCTTTTTTAGTTTTATTTGTCCCTTGATCCAAACAAAAATAATGCTGTATATCTAAAATTGAGTTGCATTTTCTTGTCTCTCTTATTAATGCTTGTAAGTTGTAAATGGGGTTCTACCCAAAGAATGTAGCAGCTGTTTTGTGTATTTATTTTCATTTTTCCTGATAAATCTTTGAATTAACTGCTTAGTTTTGGGTTGAAGATGGAAGTTTTAAGTATGTAAGCGCCAATCAGAGCAACCGTTAAATTATAAGATCAGTAGCAGAGTTCGAATTCACGGATTAGGGGAATGGTATATTTAGTTCTGAAGTTTGATATAATGGGGCCTTTTATCTGCTAGTGTAACTATTTTGTTGAAATGTCTTTTAGTTTTTCACTTTCTTATAGCTAATGTTGCATCTTAGCCTAGTATAGATGTTGTTGCATCCTAATTCAACACTCTCTCCTCTTTAGGGTTCGTTAAACAATACCCCATTGCTTTATGGGCACAAAACGGCAGTGCTTACAAAGGGGAATTTTCCTGTGAATGGTGTAAAGTTTAACTTAAATTGCTCGAGGGGCAAAGAGATGGAACTCAGCAGTTCAGCTTCGGTCTCTAGCATTGGCCACAACTCAAATGGTACGTGCAAGTTATAATTTTTCGCAATAAGAGAACAATGATTCTTTATGTAATTTTTCATTTCATTATCTAGGATTGATGCATATGTTTGTAGCATCAGCATGATATATTTGTTTCACTATAGAAATGGAGTCCGTAGAAAGTAGTGACCAAGTCGAGCCAAGTGTCTCTACCATGTTGATGAATTTTGACAACGAGTTCGATCCTTATGATGCACTGAGCACACCTCTATACCAGACAGCAACTTTCAAGCAGGTAGTTTTAATTTTACCTCCATCTTAAAAGTAATTGCAATAATATTTCGAAATAGTGAAAAAAAAAATAAAAAATCAATTTGAGAGGGAAAAAAAGAGTCACTGTAAACAAGTTCTTGTGCACGTATTACTAACTCAATGGGTTTGCAGCCTTCGGCGATAGACAATGGGCCATATGATTATACAAGAAGTGGAAATCCGACTAGGGATGCCCTCGAAAGGTTTATTTTGTCTGCAGTGCTTATTTATTTATATATTTATTTCTGTAATGTCCTTGATTGCTCCGTTTATTGTTCAGTATGTTAATTCTTTGTCCCCTATCAGACTCCTTGCAAAACTTGATAAAGCCGACCGAGCACTATGCTTTACTAGTGGAATGGCTGCTTTGTCAGCAGTTACACATCTTCTTTCAACCGGTATTTCAACTTTTCATGTTTGTTGACTCTTAGGGATATTCATGTACGCTCGTTATGTACATTTAGTTTGATGAACATTAGTATCTTGCATTTATAATGTGTATATAATAATAATGAACCCTCTCAATAGGGATACTCTTTTTTATCTTTTTTTGCTCCTCAAGTTACAGTTATAGTTTGAAAACATTCCACTTGCCAGATTATTATTTTTTTTTTTTTCCTTTTACAATTGGTAGGTGAGGAGATTATTGCTGGAGACGACATGTATGGTGGTTCTGATCGTTTGTTGTCGAAAGTAACTCCAAAATCTGGAATTGTGGTTAGGTTTGTATTTTTTTCTCTCTTTTTTTCTATACCGTATAACTTAAAATTTACCGATATTGAGTTTGCAGCTTGAAACTACGATAATGGTACAGGCGTGTGGATACAACAAACTTGGAAGAAGTTGCATCAACCATAAGCCCCCGAACAAAGCTGGTCTGGTTAGAGAGTCCTACAAACCCTCGACAGCAGATTTCGGATATTCGTGTAGGTTTTGTTGGTTTTTAATCGTTTTTTCTATGAACAAAATTTAATGAATTTTATGAGTACCATTGTATATGTGGTTAAAATTATGATGATGACCTAATGGAACAAGTTGAAGCAATTGCATACGAACATGAAAATTAAAGAATTCTAAGAGTATTCATGAATTTGCTGTTTTTATTAGTAACTTTTTTCACATTTTTTTCGTGATCCATGCAGAAAATTGCCGACATGGCGCATGCTCATGGTGCCCTTGTGCTGGTAGATAATAGCATCATGTCTCCTGTGTTGTCTCAACCACTGGAGCTTGGGGCTGGTAATTTCTTCTAAATTTTGTTTGAACTTAACATCATCTTAACTATGATAAGTCAGTAACCTTTCTTTGTCCAAAAAATAAAAATAAAAAAATCAGATATTGTGATGCACTCAGCTACAAAATTCATAGCTGGCCACAGTGACCTCATGGCTGGCGTTCTTGCTATTAAGGGACAAAGGTGTGGTCTATGACTATTGTGTGCCGAGCATTTTGATTTATGTTCGTATTTTAATGTTTTCTAGATAACTGATTTAAACGATACTTACAAACTCTTATCTCCTGAAATTCTCTCGAATCACTCAAAAAAAAAAAAAAA